TCTGTGAGCAGGGAGTGCCCAGCACAGGCAGGCTGGGCTTGTTACAGGAAGCACAGGCCCAGAGAAACGGCAAGAACGGCAGGGTTTCCCCAGAGCCTGGCAGAATTCCCATCACCCTACAGTGGTGCTTTGTACTCTGACGCCTTACATAACTCAGGCCATGAATATAGTGCTGTGAGAGAATGATCTAAAACCAGATTGTATTCCCTGAGATTCCTCTGTGGCTTCCAGGAGCAAGGTCAAAAACATCTTTCTGTTCACTGGGATGCAATGAGAGTACCCTTTTATGTTTGATGAAGCTTCTTCTCTTGTTTGGGTCTTAGCTTAAATGTCACCTTCTTAGAGTGCCCTCCCTTCCATTACCCTGTGTAATGTGTCCCCAGCCCCAGCCCTTTCATCTCTCACTAACATATTACTTGCTTTTCTTTCCTTTTCCCAGCACTTGTCACTATGTGACATTATTTCCCCCACTAAAATGAAAACTTCATGTCCCCAGGACCTAAAACACAGCCTGGCACAGAGGCTCTGAAGGATAGAGGTTTGGTGAAGCCCTTTGCTTTCAGAGACAAAACTGTCATCTTTATAACTAGTCCAGATTAGGCATTTCACGTTTAGTTAAGCTCACATGTGAAAGTGCCATGTGAATTACCATCTATTTGATCATTTCATGCTAGTTGATACCCTATAATGTCCAGGCACTGTGCTAGGCTCAGATGAGAAGCACAGCCCTTCTTTCAGGGGTCTAGGGGGACGAGTGACGAGGGATCGCCGTACACATGTCCATCACACACGCTGGGACAGATGTTTGTGGGTGGAGCAGGGAACATGGGAGAGACTCAATACCACCTGAGTCAGGGAAGGCTTCTCAGAGGGGTTTCCTTCCACAGTGAGAGCAAAGGCCTGGGGGCAAGTGGAAGGCTGGTTTGTTGGGGGAACTGTCAGCAACTCACCTGGCTGCTGCTTACGGTACCTGTGGGCGTGGTCAGGATGGGCAGTGAGGGAGCAAAAGGGCAAATCACAGAGGCTTGGTGAGCTCTGATTGCAATGCCCTTGAGATGACTGAAGAGAGTGAGGGCTTTAAAGTAGTGCGGTAACAGGCTCAGATTATATTTTCAGTATGTCACTTTGGCAGAGATGCAGGGTTCAGAATGAGGGAAAGAGGATGAGGAGGAAAGGCGGAATTATGAAGCTATATAGCAGGTATCCAGGAGAAAAACAACCAGAGCCCACGCCAACAGTAGTGGGATGGCAGTAATAATAGAATTACTAGCAGTAGCGGAAGCTAACTTTTTTTGGACATTTTCTTCATATGTAGCAGGCGCTAGGCTAAGGGCTTTCCACACGTGATGCAATTTAATTCTCAGAGAGAGGCCATGGAGATAAAGGGAAGGAATGAATTTAAGCTATTTCAGAGGGGACATTTAGAAGATGTGCTGTTTGATTCTCAAATTGCTAAATTTAGGTAGATGGTGGTTCTCTTCACTGGGGTGAGAAGTGTAGGAGAAATAGATCTGGGTTGGGGTAGTGAGCGGGGGAGCTGGCATTCGGGAAGGTTCAATTTCAGGTTTCTGCGGGACATTTAGGTGAATGTGGAGCTGAAAAGTATAATCCAAACTTGAGACAGTGATTTGGGAGTGATTAACATATATGTGAACATAACACCTGCTGTGGAGAAAGAACATAACGAGGGTGGGAATGCAGCCCAAGGATGAAAGCCTAGAGTGAAGGAACATTCAGAGAGGGTGAGGAAAGGGGAACTCGGAGCTGCAGAAGGAGATAGAAAAAAGAACCAAGCAGGCTGGGATGGAAGTAGGAGACATTTGTATCAGAAACAAAGAAAACAGAATTTCAAGAACTGAGAGTGAGCAATAGCATGAAAAGTTGTAGGAGGGTCAGGCAAGCTGAGGTCTGCAAAGCGTGTATTCCACATGACAGTCTGGTGGTCTTGGCACCCCTGAGAAGGTCATCAGGGATATGCTCGTAGCAGAACTCAGGGTACAGTAGGTGAGGAGTGAAAGGAAAAGGAACATGACAGGATGCTATGTGCAGGCAGCTCTCCCTGCCTGGCTATGGAGGCAAGGAGAAAGAAAGCGCGGGCATGTTTGGTGAGGGATGTATTGTTGGAAACGGGCTTTGTAATTTTTTTTAAACAGCAGTGACACTTGAACCTGCTTAAATGGTAGTGGGAAGGAGCTAATAGAGAAGGAGAGATTGAAAACACAAGTCAGAGGGAATCATTGATGGAGCAAAGAAAATGGGACCCAGACACCATCATAAAGAAGATACATTGCGGCAGAAGAATTCTAGTTTTCCAAGTTTTATAGTATAAAAGGTATAAAATTAATCTTAAGCTCTAGTTAGTCAAAATGAAAAATGATCTATCCACAATTTAGTTAATTAAAATAGTAAATTCCTAAATGTGGTAATAATTTCTATGTTTTTTCTCATTGCCACATTTTAGTGGCCACACTCAGAATTTTTGGATAGAGAAATTATATGAGAGATTCAATAATGAGAATCAGGGTGACGAATGCACTTCATAGATGCTGGCAGCTCCTTTCTAGATGCCCATGTCAGACGTCAATAATCACTCATGCTTTCCCACTATACTCGAGTGTCGTTTTAGCATCCTTCTCTAAATAGCACTCCACTCAGTCATTCCCAAAGTTAGAATTTGAAATGCATATGCCATCCTTGATTAAGTGGCTAATTATCCATCCACCTGGGATCAAAGTCCAGCCCAGAAGCAGGATGGGGTGTGTCTTACAATTATCTATGCACATTTAGGGGTCTTTCTGCTTAGACCAGACCTCCACACTGTCCACCTCTCTGAGCCGTGCCTTCTTGCCAGACTCTGAAGGCCTGGACTGCAAATGTCCTCCTCATTCAGAGTTGGAACATTTTACTTGCTTGACTCTGGTGTCTGCCTTTGGCTGAGCCCCTGACTCCTCTTTCGCAGACTGCCTTGGGTCCCTCCTCTTTTGACATCTGACTCTGATTTGGACTTCAGTGCCACCTTCATGGCTGACAGCTAACAGATTCCGCTGTGTGGTTTAGACAAGGTAGCTGATCCTGTGGATGGCTCCCTGTAGGCTCACCTCTTATTCTCTTGTCTGGTCAGAACTTCTTCCATATTAGGAGAGTTTATCCACAATCCCTGTCCTTCTGCCTTTTCCCATGCTTCGCCTAGCCAATTTCTGTTTATGTTTCCATCTCAATAAGCCCATCATGAATATCCTCCAGGATCCCTGAAGCTGGTTCAGGAGTCCCTTCTCTGTGCCCTGCAGCATCTGTCCAGCTCCCTGTTCAGGGCACCCAGCACACAGCTTGGCGAGGATCGCTCCCTGCCTGTCTCTCCAGCTAGACGGGAAGGCAGGCTGTGCATGCCTCATTTCTACACAGCGTTGAGAACATGGGGGTGGTTACCAGCAAGCTGTTGAATGAATGATGAATAAATGAGTGAATGTTGCAGCTAGTTTCTCTTACTTTTTAAATGGAATGCTCTTTTTCCTTTTCAAGACTTTTTGTCTGCAACTCTATAACAAGAGGGCGTTGCTTGTTTGTTTTGTTTTATTGTGATTTTTTTTTTAGCACAAAAACTTTTTTTTGGATTGTTTCTGTTGCTATGTCTTTAAATTTACTACTTTCTCTGCCTCTTTTTAGGAAAAAGCCAAAAAGAAAAAAACCTTTTAAAATCTATGTTGTGCCGTGGATGAGAACCAACAGAAAAGAAGAATGAATCATTGCAGAAATACAGCAAATATTCACTAGTTCAGATAACAAAAATTCTGAATTTCTAAAACTATGCAAAAGAGCTCTCTCTCAATTCAGCAGACTTCCTCTTTATAGTGCAAATTGCTTTTGTAAATAAGAGCAGAGAGACTGTCTAAAATATTTAAAACAAATCTGCACTCTTTAGCACTTCAGGCATACTGATGAATATTTAGGTATATGCTAATTATTCATAATTTTTAACCATTCACTAAAATGAATGCCAATCCTAAGAACTCTGTTGGTGAATCATCTGTAAAACATACTCCATGTTCCCCATTAAGACTCCTAAGATGCTCCACCTCCTGCCCACTGGTGACCTTGGGCAACTTTGTCTTCAGCCATTGGGCACTGTGAGCTTTGATGCTTCAGTCACGCGGGAAGGACCCTTAGCACACCAGCTGCTTCATACCTCCATGTCTTTGGTCGTGTTCCCACTGCCTGGAAACCCCTGCTGGCTTTCTTTAACTATGGTCTGTGATTTCTCTCACCCAGCTTTGCTTTCTCTGAATCTCCTGGTTGGACTGAGTGTCCCCTCTTCTTTGATATCATAGGCCTCTCTGCATAATGACCCTATCACTTGGCCAGCAGCAGAAATTGGGTCCAGCTCATGATAAAGATCCCCAGCACCAAAGACAATCCCAGGCATAGGGTAGGCAATCAGTGCTGATTGAGAGAGAATTGAGCTCAACAGCTCCACCTGAAACATTCTATACAATAAAAGTTAACAAAATCGACTTGCGATTATTTTATAATTGAAATGGGCCTTCAATTTAATTGGCCTGAATTAGTGAGATTGCACTGTCCAATGAATATTGTATTATCTACCTCAAGGCATTTCGAATAGCACGTAAAGTTGTGAGCAGTTATTTAAATTTCTATTATTGAACTAAAATTACATTAGTTATACAATGTTTTCTAATAGGATTATTTATAATTATATTCTTTCATATTTTTGTTCTTTCATATATTCTATGTGCTGTTAAAATAGATATAACTTAAAATCAAATCATGTTCATAAGCCATTAGAAGGGAAATTCTGCTCATGCAGACAGATAATGAAAAATTGTGGGTGTGATGTGTGTTCCACTCATGAGAGTTTAACTTCTGCTCTGACTACCAAATGCTTCAAATGCCAGTGCATTATCTGGGACTCATTTCATAGTGACAGTGGGTAAGTGCTAAATGGGCTTGGGCAAAGAAATCGTCATTCAATTATAGTGAATTACCTTCCTGAAATTTGTAGGTATCAGTAATATCCTTCATGCCATCTCCTCCAACTTCTTTGGTCACAATTAATTTCCCAATGTGGGTGGTATCAACAGCTTCCACTACATGAGTGCCATCTTTCTTAGCTGTAATGTAAACAAGATCACTGTTGACCTAAAAACAAGAAAACAGAGCATTAGCCATCATTAAATGTCCCTGTCACCAAAATCTCTAACTCTTAATGGGGGGAGGGGTCATGTAAATCCCCAGAGTTGACATGTTTCTTCAACAACATTGGATTCATAGAGCTAAACTCATTTAAAAACTATTCTGAAAGGGGAGCTAGGCTAGATTAATTATCAGGTATTTTAAATTAAAAACATTTGGGGCTGGGACTATCAGTTGTCTAAGCATCAATCATTTCTTTCTCCCTTTTTTCTTGCTGATAAATTCTACCTCCTAAGAGAGAGGTGAAAGCACTATGTCTGTTTCTCATTTTCCAGACTTCCTTGAAGATAGCAGTGGCTATGTGACATACTTCTAAGAAGAAGAGAACGTTTGTTGGGTGGCTTCTGGTAAAGACTTTCCCCCTTTATAAAAGGAGAGAAGTACATGGGAGAGTTTGCCCTTCCCTTTCTGCTTTTGAATGTTTTCCTGTGAAGTGAAGTGATGCTTGGAGCTGTGTTAGCCATACTGGGACAGTGAAGGGTAACACTGCCAGCATTACAAAGACGACAGAATGGAAAGATAAGAAGCATTTGAGGGCTTGATGATGTTGTTAAATGGCCAAGCCAACCTTGGACTGCCTACTTCAGGACTTCTTTTGTGTGTTAGGTGCCGTTCAGTCAGCTCTGAACCCTGGTGACCCTATGAATGAGTGACATCCACAACGTTCTGTGCTCACAGCCCTGCTCAGCTCCTGTAGACTCATTCCTATCGTTTCTTTATGGCGTCAATCCATCTCATATTTAGTCTTCCTCATTTCCTTCTGCCTTCTGTTTTTTCCCAGTGTTATTATCTTTTTAAAATAACCCTGCCTTCTCATCATGTGCCCAAAGTAGGACACTTTGTTTTGTCATTTTTGCTTCCAGTGATGTTTCAGGCTTAATTTGCTCTAGGATCCACTTGTTCATCTTTCTGGTGGCACAGGGACCCTGTAAAGCTCTCCTCCAACACAGTATTTCAAGTGAATCATTTTTTTTCTTATCAGTCTCCTTCACTTTCAAACTTTTGCATCTGTACATAGAAATTGGGATTGACAAGGGTGTGGATGATCTTAGCCTTGGTCTCTAATGATACACCTTTGCTCTTGGTGATTTTTCCTCTTCTTCCATTGCTGCCCTTCAAATCTCAGCCTTCTCTTGATTTCTTGGCTTTAGTCTCCATTTGAGTTGATGACTGGATCACGATAAGCAAAATATTTCACAATTTTAATGTCTTCATTGTTTATGTTAAAGTTGTGTATTTCTTCTGTAGTCATGATTTTTGTCTTTATGTTCAAATGCAGTCCTGCTTAGCATTTTCTTCTTTCACTTTCAATAGAAGTCATTTCGAATCATTGCTACTTTCTGCCAGTGAGATGGTGTCATCTATATATCTTAAGTTATTGATATTTCTTCTACCAATTTTCACTCCTATTTCCTGAGTCTAGGCCAGTTTTTCATATATGTTCTATGTACAGGTTAAGCAATAGAAAGATTAACTGCACCCTTGTCTGACACTGTTGCCTGTAGGAAACCATTCTGTCTCTCCATAGTCTATCCTTACAATGGCTTGTAGTCCATAGTACAGGTTACGCATCAGTACAATCAAATGCAGAGGCACACCCATTTCTTTCAGAGCAACCCATAGCTTTTCTTACCCACATAATCAAAGACTTTACTGTAGTTTGTAAAATACAGACTAATGTTTTATCCTTTAGGATTTCTTATATGAGAAAAATTAAACAAACTCCTACTGTTTAAGTCATTTTAATTGTTACTTGCAGCCAAGGCATTTTAATTGAAAAATAATATTAGGCTATCTAGGAAAAATTCAGGCAATTTTCTGGTGATTCAGCAACTAAACCATGCTATATGTGGGACTTGGAAATAGCGTCTTGGGGCCATGCTGGCCGACCCCCAAGCTATTCCAAGATTTTGACTTGTCACTCTACTTTTGAGAGACAATGTCTAAATCTGTGCCTAAAGGCTGATACCCCAGAGTCTCTTACTATATCCTTTACAATCCCTTTCTTGGGAGTTCCATTTATTAGCATGGAAGCAAGTAGAAAACATAAATTGCACTGCTATGTCAGGTGCTCCAGCTGAAATCGTTATTGATGGATTTACTAAATATTTTCCAAGCCCCTCTCCAAGCCTCAATTCCATCCTCTTTTAAATGGGGGTAGTAATAGCTCCATCCTCAGGGTACTTGGCAAAATTAACTGAAATAAACACGTGTAAATTACTTACCTGGCATAGAGCAAACACTAATAAATATTATCAATAATGGTAATAATAATTATAAATTATTTATTAGTATTGCCAGATATTGTTTAAGGTGCTGGAGGCCTAATGAGGAACAAAAGAGATTCAGTCACTTACAGGGTTAACACTCTAGTAAGGGATATTCTGTCCATCAGAATCACCTGGGAGAACTTAAAAAAAAACGATGTCTGATCAAGGAGGTCTTATACAGGGCCCTAAACCTATTATCTTCTTTTAAAAAAGGTCCTAGAGGAGTTACTCCCCTCAAGCTACTGGGTTTCATTGCTGTCTGTCCACTATATCCTGGAGGAGTGTGTCCAGATAGATTTTTTTTTTTTAGCTGAGCCATCCTGCCACCTGTTGGCAGCTCAGCAGCTCAGCAGCCGCTCAGCTCGGGCTGGGACTTGAACCACTGTTGCTCAGAGCTCAAACTTTTGAGCGAGCTCTTAACCAACTGAGCCACTCAGCCGGCCCCAGATAGATTTTTAATGAGTGTAATAAACATATTCTAAGGGGAAAAAAAAGGTCCTAGATAATTTTATTGGACACCTAGACCTGAGGACCCCTGAAATACAGTACAATAAAGACCTTGCAGAGGAACGTCTAAGATACCATGGGGGCACCTGAGAAGGGGCAAGTTGGGGTGTGGGGACATGAAGTAACGGCCAAGTTGAAATTTGAAAGATGCATAGAAATTAGGGAACTAGGATCGCATATTCAGTGTTCTTATCAAACAAACAAATACACACACACACACACAAAACTCACAAAAGAACACAAGGACATTTTGGGAGATGATGGATATATGTACTACCTTGGTTGTAGTGATGGTATCATAGATACATCCATTAAATCTGTGCAATTTAAAATGATATACCCCCAATAAAGCTAAAAATAATCAAAACCAAAAAAAATGGAAAGAAGGAAGGCTATGACAGGCACCGGAACCAGTGTGGGTAAATGTTCTGGAGAACATATTTGAGAGACTGGATTAGCTGCACGACAGCTGGGTTCTGATCGTGGATGTTATCTTAGAAAGTTATCTTCTCTGACCTCTATAAGCAGTTGATCAGTTCCTGCTTCTATCAAATGAAAATAATTACAATTGTTTGACAATTTTACAGGAACGTTTTAGGAATGAGTGAGATAGAATCTAGTGAGTATGACTGGTACATTTCAAAACTGAGTCAAAACAATTGTCACCCCAATAAACTTTAAAACAAATAAACAAACAAACAACACTGAGTCAAAATCTAATGGGGAAACTTGGTGATAGATTTCTAACTTTTAAAAGTGAAGTTAAAGAAGTTTAAAGTCTATTTTCTCACAAAATGTTTTGAATGCACATAAAGTCTGATTCTACTAAGGTGAAAGTAAGTATTCAATATTTATTAAATACCCACAATGTTTTAGGGATACTTTAAAATTATTTAATTTAAACCTTACACAAACAACCCTGTGAAGTATGCATTATTATCCCCATTTTACAGATGAGGCCACCAAGACTCAGAAGGTCAGCAAAGTGTTTATGGTTACATGGCTGAGAGCTGGTAGAGAAGTGCAAACCAAAGGTGGGCTGACCCTCACCTTGAATTGGCCCATAACACAGTCCTTGAACTTCATAGCATGCTGCCTCTTCCACATCACACTGCAGGACCATGAGCACCACCATGCAGTGGTGAAATGGTTTCATGTTTGGGCCTCAGATTTCTAAGGGGACATAAATGATGGCCATGCTCCACAGTAGTACTCTAGAGCTTGGTGGCACTAGCCATATTATGTGAAAGGCTGAAATGTGAAACCAGGGATCAGACAGGAGGTGACAGAGCAGACACCTAAGGAAGATTTATCTCTTTGGAAGCTCACCTTAAATGAGCTTCGTGAGGATTTCAGCTTCTTCTCTGGAGGAGGCCATGCAAGCACAAACAGCTCCCTCCTCCACTTGCAAATTATAGCAACAATAATGATAAATATCCTCTTAATTACAGTCCTTACAACATTTTACAGTTTTCCAGGGAGGCAAGGCTAGATATGAAAGTGACTAAATCCTTGTTTCCCCTTGAGCACAGCTTAGAAAATTTATGTAGGCAAAAATCTCAGGCCAACCAACAGCACTGTTCGTGTGTGAATTGGTTTTTGCATATGTGTGTTGGGAGTGGGGTGAAGGGGAAGTATTGTATCCAATAAACATGACATCAACAAGTTTTCTTTTCAGTTTCTGCCACCAATGTAGTGGTTCTCCATCCTGGTTGCACATAAGAGTCACTGATGAGCTTAAAAAGCAGCAGTGATAGGCTCCCATCCAAACACAATTGTATGCATATGCATATGTCTACAGTAGGACAGTCATAAGTGCAGGGGATGCTGGAAGAAATAATGGACCCAGGCTGTGTGACTTTGGGCAAGTTACTGAATGTCTCTGAGCCTGGGTTTACCAACATTATCCTTGCAGGTCTGGTAGGTAGTTCAGTACTACTTGTGAAGGCCCTATGTTTAAGGCCAATTTCTTTTGAACAGAAAAGAGTCTTGGTGGTCATATAGCTCTACCCTACATTTGAAGGGGCTGTCGTCGTGGAGAGCCTGGGCATCCTGACATGAAGCCTGGGGCTATTTTCAGCACACCCTGCCTCTTGGACAGACACAGGCACTTCCTAAGCAGCCGCCCAGGGGCTCAGCAAAGATGGGCTGACGCAACAGGTTAGAAGGGCTTCTCTGCAAATTTCTGCTTGTGCCCATGGAATGTAAACATATGTCCACTGCTGCCAGAAGCTACACTCTTCACCATTCAGGATGGAGTCTGTTTCTTCAGAATGCAGGACAGAGGTTTCTTCATTTATTTGTCCCTGAATAGAGATAGCTACATGGCACATAGGCTGTACAGAGTAAGTGGTGATTCTCTGAGGACATACCAAGGCAGTGAATGCCTGCCTGGTCCACGAACCTTCCTGGCACTACTGCCATACCTGTAGGGCTGGCCATGCTGCCAGGCTCTGTGTGTGCCCCATCTCCACCAGCACTGCTAGTTCTTGGGGGTGCCATCTGACCCCTATTTCTCAGATACTGTTCTTAGCAGTGCATTCTGTGTCAGCTTTTGTTTGCTTGTTTCACTCATTCATTCAACCATTCATTCAACCATTCATTCATTCATGATCACCATGTGCCAGAACTTGCTTTCAGCAATGAGGACCCAGCAGACCCTACCTTCATGGAGTTCGAATTCTACATGAGAGAGAAATAATCAATACTAAGGCAGGGTGGAAAGATAAGAACAACAGAGAAGATTATGATATTTTAGGTTGAGGGGCTGGGTGAGTGGAGGGCTCTTTGAGGAGGTTACCTGAGCAGAGACCTGGATACAGTGAAGGAACAGAACATACAATGTGGGGTAGAGGGTGGGGGAAGAGCTTTCCTAGCAAAAGGAACAATGTGTGTAAAGACTGAAATGAGAGCATGATTCATGTTTACATAAGAGTAAGAAGGTCAGTATGGCTAGAGGGAAATGAACCAGGTATGGGGGTGCAGCGAATCCAGGGGCCAGGTCACATAGAGTCTTGTAAAGACTTATGTTCAATTTTATTGTATGGTGGTGGGAATTCATTAGATAGTTGGAGGCAGGGTAGTGACATGTTTTTATTTACATTTTTAAAGGATAATTCTGGCTGATTTGTGGAAAATAGACAGGAAAGGGGTAAGAGAAGATGAGGGAGATGAATTAGCAGGAATTTTACAGGGCTCAGTGTGTACAGAGCTCAGAGGGTCATGATGAAGATTAGAGAAGTGGTTGATGACTGACAGTTTTTAAAGATATTTCTGGCAAGATGCCTGAGGGAGGTTAAAAAGAGAAGTCAAGGGCCAGCTGAGTGGCTCGGTTGGATAGGAGTGCAAGCTCTGAGCAACAAGGTCGCCAGTTCGATTCCAACATGGGCCAGTGAGCTGCACCCGAGCTGAGCTGCCGCTGAGCTACCAACAGGTGGCAGGATGGCTCAGGTGGCGAGAGCACGTGTTCCTAACAACAAAGTTGCCTGTTCGACTCCTGCATGGGATGGTGGGCTATGCCCACCCACAACTAAGATTGAACATGGCACCTTGAGCTGGGCTGTCCTGAGCTGCCAACAGGCAATGGATGGCACAGTGGTTACAGTGTGTGTTCTTAGTAACAAGGTTTCCAGTTCGACTCCTGCATGGGATGGTGGGATACCCCTACCCACAACTAAGATTGAACACGGCACCTTGAGCGGCCGAGAGCTGCCGATGGGTGGCCAGATGGCGACTGGACTTGGAGCTGAGCTAGCTGTGCCCTCCACAACTAAGATTAAAGGACAACAACTTCACTGTTCTCCTTCCCAAATTCCCCAATAAAATCTTTAAAAAAAAGAGAAGCCAAGATGATTTCCCAGTTTTACGTTATTTGAATGAATAGATGAATTATTTTAGATCAGAATAGAAGATGCCAAAAAATGTACTGCCATCTAATAAGTGGTAGCAAAATATACAACTTTGAATTGATAATAAAGAATCTGCAGTGAAGCAGTTGCACAGTTTGTACACAGAAGCTTCTGGCCCAGAGCTGGAAAGGCGGAGCTTCTGGGGCCATGGGAGTCAGATACCATGGCCCTGTTGAGTCAGTCACGGCTGCTGTGAAAATCAGCTCAGTGTGTGTGTGTGTGTGTGTGTGTGTGTGTGTTCATGTGCATGTGTGTGCGTGTGTGCATGTGTGTGTGTGTGTGTGAATTTGGGGTGAGATGGTGTGAAGGAGACAACAGACCCAATTAGATGAAACTAAGCTAGAAGAGAAGCAGCAACTCCTGAGAGGTTAGTGAACATGGGAATTCAGAAGATGGCCCCAGACATTTAGGTCCATTCTATTCCCTTGTCATCTCTTTAGAAGCTCTAGAGCACTACGAGTTGGGGAGAGAAAAGTAAGATGGGCCTCCAGAACTGAGAAACTCACCCCAGTACTGAAGGCATGAGAAGGAAGGAGGAGAAAGAAGTAAGTCTCAAGCCCTGAAAGAAATCTACAAATGCTAAAAATAAATTTCCAAAATGGAGGAGAGGAAAAGGAACAGAGGTAAGATGCTTTCCATGCCTACCCCTCTTATTTTTGGTTCTGCTTTCACTAAAGAAGACCAAGGCCTTGAGAAGGCCAAAAAATGTCAATAAACATAATGCTTGATCTGGCCCAGAAATGAGTAAGAGGTGACCAAGAAAGTCAGTATGCTGAGAGACAAGAAAAGGCAAGTTCCGGCAGTGTACCTGGGAATAGACAGTGAAAGGCAAGCTTACACACTGGGGAGATGGGACCCAGTCATGCAGACGTCCCCCATGGGGTTGTACTTGAGGCACACTAGAGGAAAGATTCTTCATACACTTTTCAACAGCCCAAACATCTCTTATAAATGACTCAGGCCTGGAGCTCAGCCTGTGCCAGAGCAACAAATCGTACAGTCAGACAAGTCTGCAGCGTGTGAGAGAGTAATTATAATCTGCAAATCCTGATGACACTCATAACACCCCGATCTATATTTAATAAGAGCAAAAAGTGTTTGCATTAACAGCTATTAGGCAATTCACTCTTGGAAGGAGGTTCCTTTTTCTCTCCTTCTTAGCAACAATAAAGCATAATAAAAATAAGGCTTTGTACATTTTAGAGTGATTTCCAATTAAAAGGCTCTCATAGCATTATAAACTATCAGATGGCAGCTGAGGAGGTTTGCATAAATCTTCAAATCTAAAACTGAAATAGAGGAAATAAAATTCCAAATACGGCATGTCTGTTCTTCCATGGCTTCTAGAAACTGCAGTGGGAGGTACAGTGGAAGAAATGCTGTTCCTTTTGTGTATTTCACATTTCTGATTTTGCTGTCTAAATATTTATGCTTATTGCACTTCTTAAATATTTCCCCATCCTGCCTCCTCCTTCCCCTGCTATTGCTGTTTGTCCAGTTCTCTCTGGCGTGGAGTAATGTCACAGCCTTTAGCTGGTCTCCGCACGTCAGTGGTGTTCCCACCAAGTATGTGCTCCACAAATCTCACGTCTCCCCTGTGGTAACTCTGTCGTTTACAGGATGAAGTGGCCACTATTCAGGACATAAGTGCCTCATGTCTAGTTCCTTCAGCTATCGTGTTTTGATATCCCTTGATGCATCACTTTTTGTGAGTCTGCATAGATAGCTTTTAATGCCCCTCACACTGTTCAGATGCCCAAGTAGTCCCCTCTGCCTAAAATCCTATCATTCTTCTGGCTTCTTTCTTACCTCTTTTGCCTGAAAAACCACTAATCAGCTCTCAAGACTCTCTCAGGCACTAATCCTTGCAGGGAGCCTCCTGATGCTACTTCTAGGTGCTCTGGCAAAACTCTGCTCATCTTACTGTGGCTATCACAGAGATGTTGTTACTATCTTTCCCTATGTCACCCACCCTCCTGAGACACAGCATTATGGCCTTTGCTGTCCTACTGCAATTCCTGGCCCATATTTCTCAGTTAATAACTCTGCAGACCATTTATCACCTATGTTGCTCATCTGACAATTAGTCCCATAGCATCTCTTGTATTACTGTTATTTAGCTTTTGATGTGCTTATGTACTCCACTTCCTATCAGGAATCAAGTTTCTTAAGGACATAGGTCTCTGAATTCCCCACAGCATGGTGTCTGACACATATTAATATAGATATTTATTCATTTTAGAGTAGTCATAAAGTGTGGTGACTACTAGTGTGAACTCAGGTGCCTGCCTGGCTTTCAGACTTATCAGTACTATTTATTATTAGATTAGTGGAGAGGTTATTTAACCATTCTTTGCCTCAATGTTCTTTTCTGTAAAATGGAAAGAATTACAATACCCATTTTAAACAGTTGCTAAGAATATCAAATGGTAGGCAAAGTGATTACATAGTAAGCACTCAGTACATGATAGACATTATTTCAGTGTGTTTATTGGTGAAACTATAATCTGGGCAAGTCCTGCCTCTCAGTGTCTCACATATTTCTCTACTGCACCCTGGCCCCCACCTCCAGCAGCCTCCCAACCTTTCAGATCTCTCCTTGGAGTACTTTTAACTGCTTCCTCTTATAGCTCCTGTCTAGGTCTTCCAGAATTTTAGACCCTTCACCAAAGTGTCCCCATCATCTCATTAAATGTGCTGCAGACCAATCGCTCTCTTTCTGTTCCTCTCCCCTCCATTCTGGCAGTTCTACTCTCCCTCTGATTGAGAATGGCCTGGGATGGCAGAAGGTGGATGGTAGTTCCCAGTATAAGGCATGGTTAGAGTGTGTTTGGATTTTGTTTTACATGATTTGCTGGGCTAGTCTCAGAGTGAAGTAGTACACTGAAATTTCAACTCATGGACCATCTCCACCAATTTTTAGTTGCACTCAACTTAGTCACTTCATTTCTTGGGAGCAATTCATGGGTGCAGAGAACTAAAGAAGGTTAGTAAAGCAATTGCTTTGGAGGAGAAAAAGATCTCAACATATCAAGGAAAGAAAAATGTTGAGAACTGAATTTTGAATTAAAAGAGTGGAGGTTGGAATGATGCCTTGTTAACTTTGTAAACACAAAGCATATGCCACACACCTGGGAAATTTAGAAGTAACAACCCAGAATCTTATTCTCTGAGGTATTAAGAGGTTGGGGAGGAAAGCAGCACTTTTCCCCGGTTTTCCTTACCTCTGCAAAAACGAAGGGTGCATCAAACTGGAAGCAAACATGGCCATGCTTAATGGCTTGAACAGAGGCAGGGCCACACCGGTACATTCCTGCATCACACAGACGAAGAAGAGTATGAGTCTGTCATCTTCACTTTTGTCCAGATATAGGACAGGTCACAGCACTGAGGTGGCTCTGCAGAGAAGTGTCTCTCAACTTTGTCACTGATTTGCCAAAATGCTTTCCATGGCCAGAGAAGGCAGATGATGAAAGTGCACAACTAAGAGGGTTTTGTTAGAAATGCCTCCTCAAACCAAAATTTGAAGCCATGAAAAACAAACATGCAGGGCATCACTATTCCTTGCATCTGCCCTTCTGCCTAAAGACACATACGCACGTGTGGGTGAAAAGCTGTGGGCTAACAGAGCATTTATCCTTTTTAGAGTTGGTCTCTGGAATATTGGAAATGGTGATGTGTCCTCAGTGGTGGTGTTGTTGTTTTGATTTTTGTTTGTGTTTTTGGACACTACAAACACGGTCAAGTTTGACTGGAGAATCTGGACACTAACTACACACATTGACCAATGCCAAACATGCATTCAGGAAGCCGGAGGCCCATGTTTACATTTACAAAATTCTTAACCAGCTATCTCTAGTTACTAAGAGAATAATTGCCATTAGTCACCTCTGAAGTCTCTCTGATATATAATTCAGAACACCATAAGGTACTGAACTTTCTTCATTAAAACCATTAAGATTCTTTTATGAATAGGTAATGAATGTTTATGTATTGTGTAAACATATACATACCAATATCTCATATCAACACCTGAGGAAATAAACATAATATCCCCAGGCCACTGATTTTAATCATCATATTAAAGATAAATGGGGGCTTATTATATGATTTTATAAAAATCTGGAGGCGGTCACAGCTGCCACTCACTGCTTAACATAGTTTGTAGGTTCGATGACAAATACTCACATAGTTAAGTTTTGAAAAAAAATCACACAACATAAAAAGAAATCAGGCTCTGGGAAAACACCAATTTATAGGATGATCTGTATGGGTGTGGCCAGAAAGGGGACTGCCTCCTCGCCCATCACACAGAGCATGCTCCTGGGACACCGGGTGTTAAACCATTCCTAGATGACCTGCTTCTGAGTGTAGGTTTCGTAGGTATAGTAGCAGAGCAGCTCCTTGGCTGTGATTTATGGACAGTCAGCCCTCAAGACAAGGGCTTGAGAAAAAAAAATGAATGAAAAAAAAAAGAGACAGAAAAAATTAGAGGGTGATCTGTAATTATTTTTGAGTCCTTCATTTTCTCTACTTTTATATCAGGGAGAGCTGAAATATATTTTATAGCCTAGTAAAAGTGCTTACATAGATATTTTTTGTCCTGTCTTCAAAACTGCTTATCAAAGCAAGAGTAGATGAATTATATATGTTAAGTTTTATGCTCTTTTTCTAAAAGTTATAAAATAATCAGGGTAAAGCCAACCATTGAAATGAAATTAAGCCGATTGGCAGGCAATTAATACTGTACATGTGCCCAGAAAGCACGCGTCTGATGTTGGTTCCCACTGGGAGTTTTACCCACACATTAAGTGCAGTCATAAAAGCAAAATAAAGACTGGCAGTTAAACAGTTCCCTCGAAGAAGGATGCAGTTTTACCATCACTGTTTTCCTGAGGGGTGCTGTCCACGACTTGCCAACCTCCAAATCCAACGGGAAGATCAGGCCTCGTCATCCAGGCTTCGTTCCAGCAGTGGTAGTTCCTTAGAAAACATCACTCCGGTGAGATTAAACTTACCATCACATTCAATGCTCCAAAAAATAAAAAAATGACAACAAATCCTGAGGATATGCCATCTACTAATTACTGGAATGGATTAAACTAAATTGAGGACTCCTAGGAATATCCTGGGGCTCTAGACTTGAGTTTGGGCAGATCCATTCCCACTGGCACTCCTGGGGGCACTCACGTGGCTGGGCATTGCTTTTCTCCTGCTAATATCAGCTTCAAGGCCACCAAGAGATATTCTAATTAGTGCATTAAACAGTTTTGATCTTAACCATTCTCTGCTGCCTAATGAAACAGAATTTACTGTGCGCTAAAGGGGTAGGGAAGAAAAGTTAATTGAAACCAAAATACATGTATCTTTGAATTTCTTTTATATTTATGTATATTATACTTATAACAAGCATATCCCTTGTAACAATTAAGAAATGAAATTCTTGTGTTTATGGGCTTAGGCCATTGCCATAGAAACCATAATATTAACTCCTGACTATAATTGTGTATAATTTGTGGCAAATTTCCATTTGGTGTTCAACAAGGAGGAAATGTTGTCAGAGTGAGTGTCTCTTTACCCTTTATCAAAGATGGGCAACCCATGAGCTGAAAGCCATGCAAAGCTTTTCACATGACCCTTGAGGCAAGAGCATGGAATAAAATGTCATCATGAATTATATTATTATGTTTATGAAATTATATGACAGTACAGAAACAAATGAGAGCCTGTTAACCCATCTGCACCATAGAAAATGTTCATATAGTAATAACAATTTAATGGTGGGTGAGGTAGTTACAGCAGTCTTTGTTTATAGCACTCATGGATTTCACATCTAACCATCATCCATCCTTTCCCTAAATGTCCTTCAATGTCAGCAATCCATGCATATTCCCATCTCTCTCTCTCTCTGAGTTCAGCTCATCTTTGACTGGCTCAATTCAGAGGTATTTATTTAACTATGTGCTCATTATGCACCAGGCACCATGCTAAGTGCTGGATATTCAACAAAGATCAAGACATAGGTTTTTGCCCATAGAGAGCCTCAGAATCTAGGAGGAATGACAAACATATAAACCAATTGTTCAAACATTTCATAAATTTGCTGTGAGGCTTAAACAAGTAGTACATGTAAAGCACTTAGAACAGCGTCTGGCATGTGATAAGCACTCAAAAATGCTAACTCTCAGACTTCTAAAAATAATTAATTGAAGTGATGCATGCTAGAATGGAAATTCATCTGAGGTGCAATGGGGTCTCAGTGGGAAACTCTCCGGGGATGAGGGAAGGTTTCACAGAAGAAGCGGTATTTGAAGTGAATCCTGAAAAATAAGTGGGAGTTTAGCAGTGCAACAAAAGGAGTAAGAACAAAGTTGTGGAGGCATGAAACAGCCAACACAGTGTGTTTGTGGAATTGTATCTGTCGCTGTCCCTGGAGGGTAGCATATTTACATATGAGTATTTGTGTGTGTGAGAGGAGAGGGATGGCAGGTGATGACAGTAAATTACAAACTGGCAAGTATGCATTACTTACTGTGTACCAGGCACTCTTCTAAAACTTTTCTGTATATTGACACATCTGCTGTTCCCAGCACCCTATCAGAAGGGTACTGTTATTATTATCCCCAGTTTACAAGGGAGGAAACTGAAGCACAGAGATTAAGAATCTTGCCTTAGGTCACACAGTTAGTTAGTGATAGGGCTCCAGGGTCTGTGCAGTAAACACTGAATTATGTTATAGGTAAGAGCGAGATTGTGAGATCCTTTTATCCCAAATTAAATATTTGGGCTTCATTTTTGGGCAAATTAAATTTGAAATTCTGTATTTGTGGAAGCTGTATGGAGAGGCAATATGGGAGATTGAGCTGAGTTACACACTCACCGAAACTCTGCAAGAGTCTGCAATGGGTCAAAAAGATGTTCACTACAGGGGTGATTATCACTGTGGAGGAGTGGAGCCATTGGGAGAGAAAACTGATGGCTTATGGAGATGTGAGGGAACCAGATGAGTTGAGGGAGAATTTTGAGCTTGCAGGGAGTATAAGAGTTCCATTTAACAAGACTGAATGAAAGAGGAAGAGAAGGTTTGTGTTGGTGGGGGCAGTGTTGAACAGGTGACAAGTTCGTTTTGGACATGATGAACTTGAGTGCCTGTGGCAAATCCAGGGGATGAAACCCAAAAGGCATTTTTATACACACATATGACACTCAGGATTTGATGAGGAGGGAGTCCCTGGGTTCTTTACTGATGATGGAGAAGAGTGGGGGAAAGAGCCAGATGAGGAGTGAAAGGGAAGGGGAGAGATACAGTGTAGATTTCTCCCCCAAGAGTGATCTATATTGTGAAGGGAAGAAGAGAAAATAGGGAGGTGGCTAGAAAGTCATGCAATGCAGGGAAAATTGTTTTATTTTTACATGAGGGGAGAGATTGTCATGCTTATAGAGGAAGAACCAGTAGAGAGGGAGAGGGGATAAAGAGAGAATAAAGAGAGAGATGGAATGGAAAGAGGCTCCAATATCAAGGATGCAAGGGGATGAGGTCAAGAGCAACGCCATGGACAGGTGTGGGGAGCCAGGCGTTGTCTGCAGGAGGCGGGAGGAGCAGAGGTAGATCAGGTTCAAGGTGCGGAGGTGTTGGGTCAGGAACATGAGGTTGGTTCTCACTTGAGAGCCTCTATCTTTGCTCTGAAGCTGGAAAAAAGGTCACTGTATTGAACAATGACTGCTAGCCTCCCTCTAGAATGGTTGCACCATCAGGCAGAGAGATCCAGAAAACAAAGCAATGAAACATTTACAGTCCCAAATAGACACAGTCCTGCTTCCTACACAACTTGTGGTTTTTAGCAACCCTGACTTTCAATGCTATACCACCAGCCTAGATTAATAGGCCCCAGAATCTCCTTATTTAAATTCAAATATCTTGGGCAAGGTTAGCCTTGAACAAGATAAACAAGCTTTGCATTTACGATCTCAGATAAAAACTTTTATTTGAGGATAACACTTCTTTTCAAAGGACCAGGAGATAGGGAAAGCTTTCTTTTCTCTCATGATTTCTAATTGTTATTTGTGATCTCTTCCACATCACCTATGACTGAGGCCTTATCTGTGTATTTAGAGTGGAAGAGTTTAATAAGAGGGTCGTAAGCTTGTAGGCAGTGGATGAGATGGACAGAACTATGAGCTGTCTACCTGACCCACTGCCTACGAGTTCCGGTGGGGTTGGGCCTTAGTCAATGTGTGGAGAGCCAGTGGCTGGGCTCCCAGAATGGTCAGGAGCAAAAGGAGAGGATGCCACCTCTGAAGCCAGAGTTGTTCTTTTGTTTGTTTTGTTTTTTGTTTTTTGGTGTTTTTTTCCATCATGCCATTCTTTGTTCAGGAATAGCCAGAGAACAAGTGTTCTAGGCCATCCATGCCATGAAGAGTTCCCTTTTGGCTGGATGTTAAATATTTCTGGATACACATACTTTGTCTTTTATATTTCAAGTTCCCCCATGAAAGAGTCTAATATTTACAGAGAGCTTTGAATTCCATAGACCTACTCTCCAGATTGGGAAACATATATGCTTCCTGAAAGGTTGTTTCTTATCTTATAGCTTCTTTATCTAGATCCTTAATAATCATTCTGTTTTCATCTTGCAGTTTCATCATGCATATGTAGAGAATGTAGATTCACTTTTGGGGTTCTGTCTTGTTCACCATCACATTCCTAGCACTAGAGCTGGCTCACGAAGTATTGGTGGATTGAAAGGTGAGGACATCTCCTAGCAAGGCAAGTGTAAATAAATCTTAGTTTGTTTATAAGATTCATATTTTTAAATTTGAAACCTGACTTCCCACTATACTATCAAAATGTACAGTGTCCCTTTATTTATTTTTTATTTTTTCTTTCAGTGTCCCTTTAAAGTTAAAAAAATTATAAACCTTCAAATTGATCTACTTTCCTTGTTGCCTCTTTCTAAAAAAGCAGTGTAGAAATTAAAATAAAGCCCCCATTTCACTGACTTATTTAATCAAGTTAAAAATAACTTTTTGGAGACGGATATTGATACAGATGACAAGGAAAGAACACATTTTTGCTTCATGTTAGCTTCTGCGTGCTTCCTGCAGAGACAGTGATTTTTAGAGATCTTTTCAAGGATGCTAATAATTCAGCAGTATTGGACAAAGGACCCAGAAAATCTTCACTGGAGGCAGAGCCTCACTAGAGAAACAGCACCATGCACTGCATTGGTTTAGTTTATCTTTTGATTCAATAAATCCCTCTCCTTGGAATTTGCACACAGGAAATAATCACAGAAATGCAATGACAAGTACATATGAATGTTCATCCTTGCATAATCTGTCAGAAGGAAAAATCGGAACCAGCTTAACTGTCTAATATGTGATTATTTTGAAACACAAAATAGAATACTATTCAGCCATAAAGATGCAGATCTATATTTATTCGTCAGGAAAGATATCAATAGCATATTAATTTTTTATAATCCCACTACATAACACCATAGACTCTGTATGTGTTCATTGTGTATGTATTTAAGTGTGGAGACAGATTTTTAAATGACCCTCACCCTTCTATAATTTCTTCCTCTTGAAATCTCTGAATAGGATGGGATACCATTCCTGAAATTATGTTACTTACATGACAAAGAAGATTTTGCAGATGTAATTCAGGTAATTAATTGTTGATCATTGACTCTGAGTTAATTAAATGGGAGATTACCAATGTGGGCCTGACCTAATCAGATGAGCCCTTTAAATGTGGGTCTAGAGGTCAAGGACAGAGCAAGTCAGATATTCAAAGCAGCAAAGACATTCTACTGCTGGCCTCGAGGAAGATGGATGCTCCCATGAGTTTTACAGCTGCAAGGAACTGAGTTCGTCCAAGAACCGGAATGAGCCCTGAGCATCAGATAGGACAAGAGTCTCAGCTAACACTTGGATTGCCCTCATTTGACACCCTGAGCAAAGGACCCAGTGACTGGACT